GTGCTGACAGTGCAAAGCCTACTTGGGATTCTGTCTCTGTCTCTCTCTGCCCATCCCCTGCTTGCTCCCTATCTCTCAAAATAAATAAAAATAAACTTTAAAAAACCCACAGGGCCCCTGGGTGGCTCAGTTGTTAAGCCTCTGACTTTGGCTCAGATCATGATCTCATGGTTCATGAGTTTAAGTCCCACATCAGGTGAGCTCGAGACCTGCTTTGGGTGAGACCTGCTTCTCTCTCTTTCCCCTCTCTCTCCGTCTCTGTTCCCTGCATCGGGCTCCATGCTGACAGCTCAGAGCCTGCTTTGGATTCTGTCTCCCTCTCTGTCCCTCCTTGGTGCACGCTCTGTCTCTCTCTCTCAAAAATAAACATTAAAAAAAAAGTATATATGCATATATACATGTATACATATGTATACATGTATGTATTTATATATAAATATATTTATATTTCTTGGAACACCTGGGTGGCTCAGTTTATTGAGTACCCAACTCTTGGTTTTGGTTTAGGTCATGATCCCAGGGTCATGGAATTGAGCCCGGCATCAGGCTCTGTGCTGAGTGTGTGGAGCCTGCATAAGATTCTCTCTCTCTCTCTCTCTCTCTCTCTCTCTCCCCCCTCATCCCTCTCCCCTTCTCTTTCTCTCTCTAAAATAAAGGAGAAAATATGAATTTATCTATCTCTACTTATTCTATATCTGGCAGTAGTGTGGGGAATGAATTGGAAAGATAATCTATTTTTTAAAAATTTTGTCTAATGTTTATTTTTGAGAAAGAGAGAGAGAGAGTAGGAGAGAGGCAGAGAGAGAGAGGGAGACACAGAATCTGAAGCAGGTTCCAGGCTCCGAGCTGTCAGCACAGAACCTGATACAGGGCTCGAACTCACAGACTGTGAGATCATGACCTGAACTGAAGTTGGACACTTAACCGACTGAGCCACCCCAGCACCCCAAATCTATTTTTATATTATTATTTGAGAGAGAGACAGAGAGAGCATGCATAAGCAGGGAAGGGGGCAGAGAGAGTGAGAACCTTAAGCAGGCTCCACTCTCAGAGTGGAGCATTACCAGGGACTCAATCCCACCACCCTGGAATAATGACCTGAGCCAAAAATCAAGACTCAGGTAATCAACCAGCTGAGCCACCCAGACACCCTGGAAAGAGAATCTAAAGTCATTTCAAATACTCTAGGTGGGAGCAGAGGAGGGTCTGGACCAATCTAAGACTGACTGCAGCGGTTTCCTTCTGACCCCAATGGAAAGTTACCTCTTTGGAATAAGGGCTTTTAAGGTACCATTTAGAGACCTGGTAACTCAATCTGAGGCTGCACAGGAATTTCCTTTAATCTTGGGTCACATTTGATGGGATCCTTTGAGAGACAATATCCCTAGTTTATTGTCTGCTTCTAACCCACGGAAATAATGCTAATGATGGGTGGGCAAGTTCATGACTGGTTGGTGAAAAAGATGCTTTGTGGCTGTGGGACCTTGGAATTCCATAAAACTCGATTACTAGACAATTGACACTCTCATCAGTGCCTGAAACTAGCCCTCCTCCTCCCCTCAGCCTCGACGGAAGAGGAAAAGGAGTAAATTCTGATTCAGGGAAGCTGTGGCCCCACATTGTTATGTAAAGAAGGAATGCCTTGGAGCAGGGGCCAGCAGAAATGTGGCTGTCCGGGGAATTAGGACTGCTCTTAACAAAGTGGTGCCCAGAATAAAACTGGGTAAGGAAGGTACACCAGAGTCATTCTGCTGGTGGACCAGTGAAGGGCATGGCTTGTAGAAGGAAAGGGGTGTGTGTGTGTGTCAGGTGCTTTATTACAGGTAAGAGAAGCAAATGATGGCCCCACTATTCCAGGGCTTTTCTGGTTTCCCTTGGCCTTATTACTCCATAGCTGGGTTCCTGACATCATTCCCTGCTTCTCACAGCTATACATTCGAATCCCAGAGGAAGAAGGATCCTCTCCCAGCAGGAGGGAAGTTTCCTGGCTCCCAGGCTCTGAATTTTCAGCATCAGTTTTCATTTCTTTTGGTGAGAGGCCAACCCTTTCTGGGAGATTTAGAGCCCCAGACTCTGCTGTGCTTGTTGCTGGGGGCGGGGGGGCAGGGGAGTCAAGGGGGAATGCATGGCTCATGAGGAAGGACTCAGCTTGTTTGAGGAAGTGACAGAAGGCTGCGATGGAGCCCCAGAAATGACACTAATTTCATTAGGGTGATTCTGATGCAGGCAGAACCCACATGATGACTTGAGTCCATTGCTCTAGGAAACCCGTAACTTGTGGACAGGCCACTTGCTCAGGGGGAAGAGAAGCTGCATGATGAAATAGGTGCCCATCCCAAGATAGTGGGGAGAATTAAATATGCTGTGTGACTACGACTGGCACGTGTCACATGCACTGGAATCCATTCTCTAGGACATTCAGCCCTCTGAATCAGGGCCTCTGATTTTTCCCCTTCCCAGACTGCCTCCTCTAGGCCTATGATCTCGAAGTGTGGATTTGGGAGGAAGCTCAAACTGGGTAGAGTAACTGAGTGTGTGTCTGGAGGGCTAATGCCTTGACATGAGGGAAGTGGATCTAGACAGTATAGGGTTATAGATTCTTAAAAATTGGACTGTGGAACCAGGCTGCCTGCTTTATAATCCCAGCTCTGCCACTTACCAGGTACTTGACTTCAGACGAGTCACTCTGTGTTTCTTCCTCTCTAAAATAGGGATGATAGTAACACCCCACTCCCCACCCAGGCAAATGAGGCAGGTTTAAACCAATTGTCCATGAGGCACCTGAGTGGCTCAGTCGGTTAAGCATCTGCCTCCTGATTTCAGCTTAGGTTTGATCTCACTGATGGTGAGTTCAAACCCAGCTTCGTGCTCTGCGCTGACAGTGTGGAGCCTACTTGGGATTCTCTTTCTCCCTCCCCCCTCCACCTAAATAGATAAATAAATAAATAACTTTAAACCAACAGTTGCCTCCCTCTTTCCCTCCCTGGCCCTGTCCTGTCCTCCACAACTGGGCCTATGTAACTGCCTTTGGAGAATATAATCCAGCACAGATCCTTTTAGAAAAGCAGGTTTATTGGTCGGGCTGCTCACCAGGACACAGCAACATGACAGGCTCCCCAGAGCCCACAGGAAACTGTATCTGCCCACAACTCAGGCCCCTCAGCCCATCAGCACCAAGGGACCTTGTCCCACAATCCCCATCCTCCCTCAGCTGAAGGGTCTCCAACCATTCAGAAGAGAGAAGGGAACCAAGAAAAAGAGGGGAGAGAAGCAAAGCTTTGTATTATAAAAAAAAAAAAAAAGTTTGTGTCCCCAGGCTCCCTCCCTCCACCCCTTAAAACAATTAGCTGCAATTCTAAAAAGCAGAATAGGGAAGATAAGGCAGAGTAGATGGGGGAGGAGGAAGCCCTCCCCTCTCTGGGCTGTGCTTGAGGGGGAAGGGAGTTGTCCTACTTTCTGACAAGCCGCCTTTACTGGGGAGGAACAAGTACTGAAGTGTCCCGAGAAGAACGTGTCAGTGGACTACAGAAATCAGGCTTTCGGACTGGAAGTAGCATTCCTGTCACTCCCAACAATTCAGGAAAGGAACCCACAAGGGTAAGGGGGGCTTGACAAGTTTTGCAGCTCTATGTTACTAACTCTAGGGAAGGATCTTGAGAAGAAACTGCCAGGAGTGAGCCAAGGCTGGGTTGCTCCATACACTCTCCCCATCTCCCCTCCAGCTCTCAGCTTGGTGGCCTGGCGGGTAGCACCTTGCTCTCTTTTCCTGGCTGCCTCTCACCTAACTCTGAGCTCTCCACAGTCTGGTGCTGCCCCCTTCTGGGACCCTCATTTTCTGGACTTTGAGAAATGGGCGGCCACATGGGGCACCGCCATTCAGATCTCAGTGAAGGCACAAAGGTGAGGCTTACCTCTGTCTCTTTGGATCACTGCTTTTTCACACTGTCCTCCCTCCTTTAAGAAATGGGCTGCCACAAGAGGCACCATTGGGATCTCAGTTAAGGGACAAGGGTGAGGCTGACCTCTCTCTCTTTGGATCGTTGCTTTCTCATAACTGTCCTCCCTCCTTATTCTGAAAATTGTCCTGCTGTCCTCTGAGAACCCCTCTAAGATGGGATTCTCGTCCCGTGTTTCTCGGGCTGCTTTTGAGAAGAATTCTCCTCTCTTCACCCATTTCCAGTTTCTACTATTTCCCATTCTCCTTTCTAAAGCCATAGCCATGTGCTACTGTTGCGGATGCATAAACATGTCCGCATTCCTCACACCGCATTCCTCCTTCCCCAGGGTTCTGCTTAACTCCAGGCTTCCTTGTTGGGACGCTTTACAGATACCACCTGTGCTAGATTCTCATTCCAGAATCACCGCTCACTCTGCCCTCTTCCCCGCCCTGCCCCAGGTTCTCCCCAAAGCTGCTTTTAAGTCCTTCAAGTACGGGGCCTCCCCCGGGTGGGCCAGGGTCCTCTTCGGGATTCACTCTTTCCTTTTACGGTACTTTAGGCTTTGAAGTCTCCAAGGATCAGGATGAGAAAAAAGAGCTCAGTGAGCAGGAATGACAGCAGTTGGCTGTGAGTATGAGGTGGAGGTTAGGGGGAAGGCAGGCTACCCCAAAGCGGGGTGGGGTAACCATGGAAATGGAAATGACAGCAATTTCCTTTAAGATCCCTGACTTGGATGACCAGGACACGGATCACTCCCCTTTGTATTCCCACCCGCACTCTGCCCAAACTGGAGCTGTTCGTGGAGGAGGCTGCCTCCCTCTCCCATCTTAACAGCTTTAAGACTTGGAGGGGTGCACCTTGAGGAGCGGTGTTGTCAATTTAGAAACATCTCTGCCTGCCCGTGCGGGGCCAAGAGAGAGAATGCGATAGAGAAAGTTCGGGGGCGGGGGGGGGGGGGGGAGGGGAAGGAGAGTAGCCCCCGGGATTGTGAGGCTGGGGGAGGGGGAGCAGATGCCGGCAAAAGGGCAGGAGAGGAACGTGATTGTTGAGAGAAGTTTGGGAACGGCGTGGGGAGGGGGCAGGGAGAGGCGGGGCGGCGCGGCCTCCTGGGCAGAGCCCCGCGTCTGCTCAGTCGCTGTCGCTCTTGTCCACCAGCACGGCGTCCGACTCCTCGGTGATCTCCAGCAGCGTGTGCACGTCGGGGCTGCTCCCGCGCAGCAGGTCAGCCGCCTCGCCGCGCTCCGCGCCGCCCTCGTCGTCGTCGGCGCCCACCTCCACCATCTCGGTGGCCTTCAACACCTCCACCTCGCCCTCGCGGATCTTCTTGACATGGAAGGTGAAGGGCGGCACCTTGTACACCGCCGTCTTGGAGCGCGCGTAGACCACGTGGTCGGGCGTGAAGGACTTGCGCAGCTTGTCTCGCGAGGTCTTGAGTTTCTCGCGCCGCTCGGCGGGGACGAGGCGCGTGCCCAGCTTGTTCATGCGCTTCTCCAGCGTGTGCCGCGTCTTCTCCAGGTTCTCCTTGGTCTTGAGGCGGGTCTTCTCCAGGTTTTCGCGGGTGCGCACCTTGGTCTTCTCCATCTTCTCCTTGGAGAAGGCCTTCTTGAAGTCGTCCACGCGCCGCAGGCCGCTGCGCTTGATGCGCTCGGCGCGCGACTCCTCGATGACCTCCTCCACCTCCACCGCCTCGTCGGAGGACAGCTCGAGCGCCGCCGCGTCCTCCTCGGGCCGCTCGCCCTCGCCCAGCTCGTCACCCTCCTTCTCGGGCAGCGCCTCCGCTTCCTTCAGCGACTTGCTGACGCTCACTTTGGCCGGCAGTTTCACTTCATCCTAAAAGGAGAGCAGAGCCGAGAGGTGAGAGGCAGGGCGGGAGTTGGGGGGGGGGGGGCGCGGCGCTAGCGGACACTGGACGAACCCGAGGCAGGGTGGTGGTGCTCCTGAGCGGTGCTCCACTGGCCGTGAAATCGGCCTGACTCCTTCGTCGGTGGATCCCCAGAGCCTTGACCCTGAGCTTCACACTGTCGGCGTCCAATGAAATATGTGTTGAATGAACGTTAACTATGCAGACAGGGCGAGGAGGGAACCGAGCTTCCGGTCAGAGGTTGACGTGTAGTGTAATTGCCATGAGGCTGATTATCTCTACAGCCCACCAACCCTGTCCTGTGCCCTCCATCCACCCATCTTACAGTAAAGCCACTCCTTACCCACTTGCGTCCCAGGGAACCCAAGGTTTAACTTTGGGAATGGGCAGAGCGCCCTCTGGTGCACCGAGTCCCACACTGCTCTAGCCCGGCCAAAATGCAAAGGGGTTTGGGACGCGGTTAAGGGGATTAGGGGTAGGAGGGGTGAGTTCACAGCCAGTGTCAGGCGACCCTCAGGTAGGGTAGCTTGAAGCCAAGATAAAGGGAATGCCTTTCCCAGGCTTCAGATAACTTCAGAACCAGTCTTAGGAAAGGAGAGCTGTGCTGCGCCCACTCTCCCCACCCTTGACCTTCACATACTGATTTGCTCCAGCAGTAGTCACTCCCCCCACCCCACCCCTGCCCCCCATGTAGAAAATGAAGGAAGAGAGAGGAGGAAGCTGGCTGGCAGCCAAGAGCATGTTTTCTCCCCAACATGGACATTTATTCTGGTTTTGACTTTCCCAGTCTTGGAATGGAAAGGAGGCATTGCTTTTTCCATTCTTGTTTTTTTTGTTTTTGTTTTTTCCCCAGACTGGAGCTCAAGGAGCCAGGAATAGGGTAGTGGTCCCAGATTCCCTGAGATCTGGAGCACAGAGCCAGTTCTTTTCTCTTCCCCTGGGAGTACCTAGCACCAGCACTGTTTTCCATTCTGGGAAGATTTTCCAAAGTCCTGATTCTGGGCCAACAATTCAGACTCTCAGGATCATCCCCCACAAGAAGGTAGGGGAGGCTGGTTACAGAAAGGGAAAGAGGGCACAACCCAGAACATAAACATAAACCAGATCACTTTGACCCAGACTCTTTTAGGGACTTCAGATGCAGGAATGAGAGTCAGTAGTTTTTCAAAGGGCTTTCTGAAGATTGTTTCCCAGAATTGTAAGGAAATCCCATCGGAGAAAAATGAGGCAACATGAATTGACCCCTCTCATACACACACACACATACACACACACACACACACACACACACACACACACACACACACACACACACTCACACACGCACACAGAGGCCACTTGGTATCTCAGCACCACCTGCTACAGAAATTCCTTCCCCAGCCCCCAGCTTCTTTCCTCTTCCCTCCCATCCACATCCCCCCAGAGTTTCCTGGTTTACACTGAAAAATAGGAACACCCCCTCCCAACTTCCTTCCCTCCCTGTCAATAGCATTAGCAAGGACAAAGACAGAAAGCTAGCTCCACCTATTCTCCCAAACTGGGCACAGCACTGCTGGGCATAAAGCCACCTCAAGCTCTCATTACTCAACTACACCTCCCAGTAGGCAAGGTGATCTGGGCTCAGGGCATGCTGGGACTTGTAGTCTCCACTTGCCATAGCTGGTTTGGTACAGTCATTCTGTCCATCCCTCTGCCTCTTATCACTCACAGAGGCACTGAAGTGGTGTTTTCCTTGTTCTGTGTGTAAGGAGGTCCCAACCTATCTTAACATTCCTTCTGATTTCCAGTGGTATCCTTTGGGCCTCCTCTTTACAGCCACTTCTCTGTCTGCTACTTGAATCCTCTCTTTTACATACCATTCTAGGGCTCTCCATAATCTAGACTCCTTGCTACCTCTTCATCCCTCTCCACCCAGCATTACCTGCAGCTTCACTATAAAAAAATTTCAGCTCTGATCTCTTCTTTGCAGCCTCTCTGACTAAAACCCCACACATGCTCCACCAAAGGGTAGTGGAGAACCCCTCCTTTCACTAAGCTCAGACAATGTGGATGAGCTAGAGAAGGATTAGGGTGATGGGCGGGGAATAATCAGGAAACAGTCCCAGCTGCTGGAAACCAAATCAACATTGTCTCCCTGCAGCATCCCTGATAACCCCCTCCCACATCCACTCCTGTCCCACCCTGCCCCCTCAAGGCTGAGCAGACTGGTTTTCCTGGCCTCCAGCTTCCTAGATTAAAGGTGTTTGCCAGCTGAAATTGGAAGTGAACGGGGCTAGGGACAGAGTTGTAGCCAATCCCATCTTCCTAGTTTTTGATGCAAGGTCTCAAATACAACATCAGGGAGCATTCCCAGTGAAAGGAGGTTTATTCTCGGATTTGGAGGTGTCTCCCCCAGTCCAGAAACGTATGCGGGAATATAATAACCTCATTCATTGTAGATCTCCTCTAGAGTGATGGTTTATACCAGAGGAGCTGCCTTCTTGGTGGAACATCAGGGGATGGGGCAACGAACAAACTTGACCTAAGTCCTTGGACGGTGTCCAGTAGACTGGCTCTGGAAAGGGTATACCACCATGACTTCAGCTTTTCTCCTCCATTAATGGATTTTCTCTTTTCTCCCTGTTTCCAAGCCAGGTTTCCCCTATGACTCACAGCCTTGGAGTGCTGTCTTGGGCCCACCCAGCCTGCCTGTTGCTACAACAACCACCAACACAATTCCAAAGCACCTCCCCTCACCCTGGGCCACACACTGGCTGGGCACCCTTGTCCCACCCCTACTTCCCTGGCAGATCTCCTTCACTAAAGGAAGGGCCTCAGGGGTTGCCAAGGAGGAAGGTCTCTGCTTGTTCTGTTTTCACGGTTTTATTAAACAAAACCACCACTCCCATCAGGCTTGGTTTCCAGAGTTACCTTTAATGACCAGATCTGAGCAAAAGCATGCATAGATTCCTCTGCCCCCAACCAAGCACACACAGCTCTCCGACCTAAGAAGGCACCAGTCCAGGGTGAGTTTCAGGAGCCCCAGGGAGGCGCCCCGCCCCTTCTACTCCACTCCCCAACGCTGCTGTATAAACTGAAAATCCTTTGGCTTAGGAGGAAGATTTTAATATGATTATAATTTAATCGAGCACCTATTATGTGCCTGGTTCAAGTATTCACATTTGTTAGGGAGAAGGGACAATGTCTATAAGTAGGAGCCTTTCTTTTTTTTCTTTCTTTTAAAAAAAAATTAAGCTCTACACTCAGGATGCGGCTTGAACTCATACCTTCAAGATCAAGAGGGGGAGCCTGGGTGGCTCAGTTGGTTAAGCGTCCAACTTCAGCTCAGGTCATGATCTCACAGTTTGTGGGTTCGAGCCCTGTGTCAGGCTCTGTGCTGACAGCTAGCTCAGAGCCTGGAGCCTCTTTCAGATTCTATATCTCCCTCTCTCTCTGACCCTCCCCTGCTCATGCTGTCTCTCTCTCTCTCTCTCAAAAATAAATAAAACATTTAAAAAATTAAAAAAAGAAAAAGATCAAGAGTCATATCCTCTACTGACTGAGCCAGCCAAGTGCCCCAGGAGCCTTTATTGATTTAGAGCTCAGTCCCCAACTTCTGCCTGGGAATTGCCAGAGAAGACTTTGGAGAGGTAATTCAGAGACCTAGAATCTGCTCAGAGAATAAGTTAGAAGAGAGTGCAAGACTTGGGGAGAGGTAGTAGAGAGGGAAAGTCATAAAAACTCAGAATCATTACTTTAGATTGCCAAGACAAGGGGTGAGAGAAACCAAAGGCAAAGGGTCCTTTCTGCTAGAGCAGGATTCTCAACAGGGGTACTGTTGCCCCCAACAGGTAGAAATGGATTATTCAGGGGAGGGGGGATTTGGGGTAGTGCAGTAGTTTGTAGTGCTCAGAATCTCAGTGCATACACAGATACATAGCATATCTGTAGTATTAAGATTTCATAGAGAAGGGGGCAATTGGGGGGAAACATCTAAAGGGACTCCTTAGAAGGATGGTTATGGGGAAAAAAAGAAAGAAAAAAAGTTGAGGAAACACTTTTGTGCTATAGGGAGGCCAAAGGATCCAAGCCAGAGGCAGCTAAAATGTCCCCCCATCAGGCCTCTCTGAGTTGGCAGCTTTTGGGTGCCCCGCCCAAGGCAGGATCTGGCAAACATAAGGGATCCCTTTGCAAAACATTTTCTTAAAAAAAATGGAAAAGATCAGTGTAAATGTTTGCCTCAGCCACAGGGAGGGGGTGGACAGGGCACAGAACAGAACCCAGGCCTGGGCCTCATGAAGGCCCTCTCCAGCTGGCCTGTCCCAGAGGAGGAGTCAGAAGGGGGATGGGAAAGAGAATCAGATGCCATGGCACAGTTTCATGCAGATTCATGCAGGGCAACACTGGGTGCAGCTCAAGTATGGTGTTTGGAGCATCTACTATTAAGACAGAAACCAAGAGGTAGGGGAGAGCCGCGTCCCTTCACCTCCCACCCCATTGCACACAACACATTCCCCTGAACTCTGCATAATGCGAGAGTGTTTTCACAATACTGGCCACCCACCCATGCTTGGAAGAGGCCTGCCATCCAGATGCTGACCACCGTTAAGCCATGAGCTGACAGTGGGCCGGAGTGACACCCCATGCCCACATCACCCAGGAGGCCCTAAGTGCCCCCACTGGCTGTCGGCTCCTCTGGGGTGGGCAGAGGCACAGGCTCTGGGTAATAGGGTAGTGTCCTAGGCGTCTGGTCAAAGGGTGGGAGTTCAGGCACTGTCTCAGGCTTCAGGTCAAAGGGCTCAGTCTCAGGCAGAAGGTCAAAAGGCACGATCTTGGGTGTGGCCAGGTCAGAGTGTGCTTTCAGCTTCTTCTTGGGCTAAGATGAGGAAAAGGGATTTAAATGGGGCTTGAGATGGGTGCAGATGGGGTTGAAAAAGAGGTCTTAGTGGGCATGCGGAGTTGGAGCCGGTGAGTGGGGGGGAGTACAGCA